CATCCAGAGGACCTACTGATTTTTTCTTTTTGATTTTTTCTACCTGGATTACTGAGATGCATCAGGACTTTAAGTAGTTTTAACCAGCACACTCAAAAAAACCATGTAGTGGATTTAAAAAATGTAACAAATTTACTTAACATTTACTTTAAATTTAAAATAAAGGTTACCTTTACTCAATTCAGTTGAGTGGAACCATGATTTTTTTAAAATTAAATCCACCACGAGTTGATGCTCCTACTTCCAAAAACGTATTTTTAAACCCTAGTATCTCTACTTCATTGAGTAATGTATGTAAATACTGTCTCTGAAGATACATCAAAATATTACACTCACATTATTTCAAGGTTTGACTATTATTTCTCAACATAAGAGGCTCTTATAAACTCTGGCAGGTCAGGTACTTGGTGAAATGCATTTTTTTAAAAGAACGCTGGACTTTTAATTAAAATCTGGGTTCTTACCRGTTTGCCTTCACCAGGAGCACAGCTGCATGGGATCGGTGCTGCGTTCTGGTCCAGGTGCAGTGAAAGGAACCTTTGTAGTTTGGCGCCGAGCAGTGGATGTGACCTGAAGGAATTGAAACTTGGTCAGTTTCCTCTTAGTGATATGTAGTTTTGGTTGAGGGAGTCGAAGCAGTTTGTTTTAAAGTTCACATGATGTCAAAGTGAATAAAATGAACCTTAAGAAAAGAAATGTTCTTAATCTTTATATGATTTACTTTTTTTAAAATTATTCTGTTTATTTTAGCAAAACATGGTGGCAATATACAGTATATACACTATAAATCAGTGTCAGCTTTAACAAGGTTTGTTTGTGCAACATGTTTTTATTGGTTTCCTTATATTCATTTAATATCCTCCTATTTTYGTATTTTTCTTGATACCAACCCACTGTTGTCAGATTTTGAACAACAGCCTTCTTTCTATTGCTGTCTTTTTTATTATCCAATATCTCTTTCCTTCCATCATTCTTATCTCAGCTATTCACTGACATCTATCCCATGTCTGTTCATATAAAAGCCTCCTGCCTGAGTAAATAAAAACTAAATCTGCATCTCTGTTTGCCTTCCTTTGTTTACCTCTCTCGTCTCATCCTAAATCCTCGTTAAACATCCTCTCCATCATTCTTATCTCACCTTCTTCAGGGGATTTCTCCTCCAGAATGACAGTCCTGTTGTCTGGATCCAGCTGGACTAGGATCACAGTGTGGTTGAGGTAGTCTCCGTTCGGGCTGAGGTGGCATGTGTAGTTTCCTCCGTTCATCTCTTTGACCCAAACTGAGATCTGGTTCCCCTGCAGAGGCGGTTGAAGCTCCTCACCTGAGACAAATGTATTAACTTAGCTGCTAATCTTTATTAGAAGGTGATTTTTTTAAAATAGTGTTTTGCATATGCTGAGCGTACAGGTGCAGGTATTATTAAAAACAGGTGCGTGCAAGCAGCAGCAGAAAGGGACAGGTTTATTACCATTTTTCTTCCAAAACACAGGCTGGTTCTCATAAGCTTCTCCACAGGTCAGATGGACTTTTATCATGTTGCCAAAACCATTTGGCACCTTCAGGACCACAACTGACGACACATGAAAAAACAAATCAAACAAAACAGAATTAGATAAATAGGGAGAGAGAAAAAAGTCAATGTTGAAATTATTGACTAAAATAAAGATGCTAACCATGATCCATCAGTGTCTCTAAGTCACTGTCTGAGCTGGCAAAGCAGAGACCAGAACACAGGATCACCAAGAACAACGAATACATCTGAAATAAATGACAAAAAGTTGCACAGATTACACGTCAAGTGTGTTTAAATGAATCCATGCATATGCTTTAAACCTGATCAAAAATGCAAATACTCAAAGGCACATTAAGACAAAACCACTTGTTTTGTGGAGTCTGGGATATTTAAGCACTGAAATAAACTTTAAGAAGTATATTAACTATTTATTCATTTAATTTAAAAATAAAACTAATTCACATACAAAAAATACATATAGAATAAAATGAAAGGTATAGTAAAAAGAAAAAAATATATATATAG